GCACAATATAGAGTAGGAGTGAAAATTTGTTAAAAGTTTCAACCTGTGATCATTGACCTTTGAGGTTTTTGCGGGGCTTGGTCCACACATTTCTAATTCTTCAAATTCCAGGTCATCAGTAGCGAAGATGAATGAAGACCTGCTTATAACGAGGACAGGTAAAAGATCAGTAAGATTAATGACTTAATTACTACTTATTAATTAATGTAAGTGGATGTTATTAAGCCAGGTATGATTGAAGAAACTCAAGGTTTTAAGAGCAGTAATGATATAGTGTATATATATATATATTTATAATCTTAATTAAATTAAACTATTACACCAAATTTCTTTTATAAGCCTCAGCATAATAACTAGAATAAAGTTTAAATAGGAGAGTTTAAGATACTATAATTAAAGGAGCTAAATCGCTAATATTTGGCACCTAGAAATTGACACGAATGGGTGCAAATTATAATGTAATATAAATGTATATAAACTGATTTACATTCAATCATTTCCGTTTTTTACTCTAATTTCAAATCAGTTATGTTCGGCGAAATACCCAGAAGTCTCAATCGAATGGCAATCTCTAGCATCTGGTTATTCCAGTCTACATTGACAGTATTCATTGTGCATGCTCTCCAGATAAGTATATGTCGTCACCGTTTGACATGACTTGTGGAATGTCTAGCCCCATTCTTCGAGTCCCTTGTTACAAATGGCGCTGAAACGCATTATGGTACAATGATATATTGGATATCAGAAGCCCTTATTTTCCTGGTAAGATCACAAGATCAATGTTGATTTAAATTGGCTCAAATTGGGGTTTTTGATGTCGAAGACTTTAGATGATATTGAGTTAGAGACTTAGCTGCTTTAAATATAGACATTATGACCATATACATTAATATACAATCCAAACTACTTAAATGTAAAAAAATGTTATGTTTCAAAAGTTATTCAAAGTTACGACCATTTAAAGTTTAAGAGACCGTAACCCACCAAAAAATAATAGTCCTCTTTCACCTTTGTCTAACTACATGTATACTGTATCATATTTCAACTGAGAAGAAATATATTCTATGAAACGAAGGAGTATAAATGAAATTTGTGACAACATTTACGTACAAGTAAACATCTGACAGGCCAATTTCAAAGGTTCAACTTCAGATAGATGTGTTTTTTTTATGAACACCCTTTATTCGCCAACAAAGATATAATATTAATGTTCATTCAGTGACTCCCTGTTTTGAACTATAATACAGAGTACAGAGCCCACCCTTGAACAACAAAAACTGGTCACCATTTTTAATTTTATTACGAATTAACTTAAAGAGCGTCTGGCTCTATTCTTTGAGACTTTAAGATAGACAAAAATGAGTCTTAAAGTACATATTAACGTAATATGAATGTATATAAATTTATTTACATACAATTTTTTTAAAAAGTTATTGTAATTTCTAATCATTGCCTACACTACCGATGGTTAAAGGGGCTAAATCGCTAATATTTGGGACCTAGAAATTGACACAAATGGGTCGCAACGCATATAATAATGTAATATGACTGTATTTAAATTGATTTACATTCAACCGTTTCTGTTTTTACTGTAATTTCTAAACAGTTATGTTTGCCGAAGATGCCAGAAGTCTCAATCGAATGGCAATTTCTAGCGTCTGGTTATTCCAGTATACACCGATAATATTTATTGCGCATGCTCTCCAGATAAGAATATGGAGTCACCGTTTGACATGACTTGCGCAATATGCCTAGCCTCGTTTCTCGAGTCCCTTATGACAAATAGCGCTGAAAAGCATTATGGTACACGATTCGTGTACCAATCGTAAAATGTTTATTTTGTCTTAAATATTTGATATCAGAAGTACATCTTTGTCCGGTAAGATCATGACATCAATGTTGATTTAAATTGACAAATAATTCGTGTTTTCAATGTCAAAGATTTTGGATGATATTGAGTTAGAGACTTAGCTACTTTAACAAATTTATAATTCATCATACCTTTGAAAATACTGTATAGAATTGAACCATCTTTGGACAGATATTCATTTTTAAAATCTGATTCTACTTTAAACAGGTCTTCTTGGGACTAACACATGGTCATTTTATTAAAATTTATTGTAAGAATTTGGGCCAGGGCATATTAATGTACTTTTAGATATTAAATTCTCAGTTATCACATATATAAGAGACTTGATGTGACTTTATTTAATCTAGATTAGAAAGGTGAAAAAGATAATGTAAATTTTTATTGATGTAATTTTTCTTTAAAAAGCATTTATTTTATTTCCTGTATGATGGGATCAGACCACTTGACTCCATTAGGTACATGTATCTACACGGATGTACATGTACATGTCACCGATGACAGCAAGAGTTTGATTTCCTGCTAAAAAGATTGGTTACAATCTTAAAGATGCATTATGTAACAGCTAAATCTGCCTATTGCGGGTCTTTATTTTGGCTTCAAATGTAAATTATTTTTTAAACATTTATTAACATAATCAACTCTCTAGTAGATTAGAATGCTTTGGCCATTTAATGATTTGATTTAAAATGGAGAAGCGAGGCTAAGTCTCGAATAACAAGTACCATTGTTAAAATAATAACCAATCAATGCCAGATCTTGTCAAACCTCCAAATACCGATAACTTCATTCAGAATAAAGTAATTTGAATGATATTTTCAATATATTCATTTTTCATTATCTATTTTGGAAAAATTATAGTAGGAACAGCCAGCTCTTTATCTAAATCTTACATATAATGCATCTTTAAACAGATTATTTGCAAAACTATGTGTTCTCTTTATTGGTATATAGTGTACTACATGTATAACTTATCATTTTCTATTTGATAGCAATTCAAGAATACTTGTCGAAATGTTGCGCTATATGTATATAAACCAGTGATTGTTTTCCATATAAATTGTGTTGTGTTTTAGTATATGTATATTGTAGTCTAAGATGTTTATTAGGGACAATAATATGTATATTGTGATGTATGATGTACATGTATGAAGTTTATACATTGTTTGTCATCTCACTGTTAAATACATAGAACAATGTATATTTATGTTATTATCATCAACATTGTTTATAGATATTTTTTATTGATGCATGGAAAATATGGCACAGATGTAAAAATAAGTAAAAATGGCATAACAAAAGAAAAAGTTTATTAAAATTGTTACTACAGTATAGCAGTTGTGAATTCTGCAAAACAAATTATTATTATTTGTCGTAGTGAGCCATTTGTAATGAATGTAATAATTTTTGATTAAATTATGGCAGAAAAATGTATATACATGTTTTTTATTTGTTATTAAATTTTAATAAATAATTTTTTTCAATGACTTAAAAAATTTCCTTTTTAAAAATACAATTTTGTTCTGAACATAAATATTTGTGAGAGATATAGGGTTTAACATTCACTCAACACTATAACACTGTACTGGATCATTACATTAATATACATGTATCTATTAATTTGCTGGTACATTGGGGTCTGTAGAAGGTAAGCCAGGCAACCCTACTCCTCGTAAATTACAACCCTGTTATTGACCAGGACTTTCATAGATAACAAGTCTTAATATTATACACAGCATGTCCTGCGTAAGTGTGTTTTTCATATGAGCAAGCCTGGACACAAGACACCCATCACAGACTTTGTCCAGTATAAATTATCACACAACATACATGTATACCAGCCTGGCCACAAGCATGGGCGTGGATTTAGGGGGAATGGGTCCCCCCCCTTAGAATCGGAAGGGGGGGGGGGTGAATAGGCCTCTGCCCCCCCCCCCATGATTTTGATTGCCAGGACAGATTTTCAGGTTTATATCCACATTAATGTCCCGTTCTGAAGGCTATCTAACCACTGCCTTGGGTCTCACCACAGTAATTCATCTTCACGATATCTTCCTCCTTAATTGTAGGTAGTCAATTTTACTATATCGTGTCGTCATCATATTACCCCTAGTTACAGCTTTCATCGAAATAGCACTGGTAAACTGTTCGTACTTATTTTTTGGGTTTGGTAATGAAAGGTTCCAGGGTTCGTCCGTCCCCCCAAAAGTTATGACAAATCCACGCCCTTGGCCACAAGGCACCTATCACAGACTTTGTCAGGCACAAATTATTACATAACATGTATATACATTGCTTCATAATTTGTTCCTGACAATGTCTTTGACAGGTGCCTTATGCACAGGCTTGCATATGAGAGAGAGAGAGAGAGAGAGAGAGAGAGAGATATAATGGCTACTTGACTCTAACTAGGTCATTACGAGACTAAAATGGTTCAATTTTATTTCAATAATTCGCACGTAGGGGTCATTACCAGTAAGAGGACCCAGAGAAACCACTTGTTTTTATACCCAATGTTTCAACACTTGTATTTCAAAGAATATATTAAAACTGTCTTCGAATTGTTAAACACAGTTTCAGCTAGAAAAATATTAATCTTATATAAAGAATAACATTCTTATATAAGAAGAATAAAACATTCTTAGGACATATTCAACAAAAAAAGAAAGAAACTAATAATAAATATCTCTTGATATCAGAACAGCCATGGTACATAGAGAGTCACACTGTCATCAAGTCTAAACAAATATTCACTCACCACAGGAAAAACAAACAATACAAAACAACACACTTAATGAAAATCACTCAACCAAGACAATTCACTCATGCTTAAAAGCAAAACAAAGTCAACTTCTGTGTGTGGTACACATGTAATTTGAAATGTTGTATTTTTGTCTGCATTATAAAAATCTATTCCAAAAAGTCAAATAGAAAAATTGGTAATCCCTGACCGCAGATAAATTAAAGATAAAGAAAAATGAAATATTGGTAATCCCAGATCGCAGAGAAATTGATAAAAATTTGGAAATATCGTATTTGTGTGCAGAACGCTCATCTTCAATTTCAAAAATTCAATGAGAAAAATTGATAATCTCAGATCTCAAAGAGATTAATAAAAAAAAATGTTCCATACCTGTACGGGCATTCCCGGTGCCTTTTGAGCATACTGATATATTTTACATTTGTCTTCGAGTTCCATTTTCCTCTGTTCATGATAATCGTCGGATTGTGGTAAGGATGTGTCCAAATGTTTGATCATATAATGATATCCAGCCTTAATCCACCGAAATATTGGGAATACGAAAATATCGTTGGTGAGACGGTTCTCAACAAGGATTCTTTCAACATACCAATCACTGCCAATACCCGCGTCATCTCGCCAGAATTCTATTTTAGTAATTTTCCCCAAAGGTCGAAGTTTAGATCGAGGAACATCGAATTTGTCTTGCTTGCCCCTCTCGAAATCGTTGCGTAAGAAATTATCCAGGGATATTTCCCCCGTGGAATGTCCCACATCATCATGCAAAATAATCGTCACATTGGCATCGGTGCCAGCATTCCTCCTGTCACCTGTCCGCACGTACACTACATAATCCGACCGAATTCGGCTAAAACAAGCCCCCATCGTTTGTTATAATCCAAGCTCTCAAGAAGACATGTGAGTTGGTGTTAGATCTAAATGAAAAACTTAGCGAGATAAGCCCGTATATATATGTAACACGGCGCAAGAACTTCCCACACACTGTTTGTGAGTTTACCAAGTTATCTATATTACTGTGGTATATTCCGCCGGTGGATTCACTGTTATACTACTCACGTGATCTGTGACGTTGTCCTCCAACCGTGAGATATAGATACAAACTGTTTGTCATATCACACACCGCCCCCTTCACATAAAAAGGTACGTTTTCTTAGACACGAATAGTTGAACGACTTGTCATTGAGCAAGCATCCTCCGTCGGTGAATTACCCACCCTTGTTTAATGGAATGTGACCACATCACCGAGGAAGCTTCCCCTGATTCTAAAAATAGATCACCGCGTGTAGCAGTAGCCAATCAACACCCAACCGTGACGGGTTGATAATCAAGGAATCATTTTAACTCCCGGTGTACAGCTATTATCTATATGGTAATATTATTTATCAATATGCACTGAGCAGGATGATAATAATAATATATTTATAGGAAATTTGAAACCATTGATAAAAATGTTGCGTGCCAGTATTATATTCTGAGTTACAGCTAAGTTTTCCCAACTTCATTCCACTGCAAAAGAACTATGTACAGAAACGAACCATTGAAATAATATTGTGCTATATGCAAGACTCTCTCAATCAAACATCTACAATCTTATCTAGTTTCCATATAATCGTTCCATTTAAAATTTAAATCACTATTATTCAATCTACCCGTGTATATTCGTTCGTTCCTGGAGATTTACGGCCACTTCCACCAAGGGTGATATCGTAGACAAATTTATATTAAATTAAATTTATACCACTGTTATTCAGTCTACAAATATATGCGTAGGGTACAAGGAATAAAATAATTTAGAGACTTTTGGCAAGCGGAATTTTACCATCCGTATCACATATCCGTATCGTATACTTGATACGTTGCGTTGATGTAGTTTTAGAGTTTTGGCAGATTTTCGCGTCGCGTACGTGTGCGTCGATCAGCTAAGCTTAGTTCTATTACAGCATAATGGCAGATATCTACCAAGATCACCATCAGTACTAGTCAAGTGCCCATTACAGCCGACATCAAATATACACCTTCGTGTTCTAGAATACACAAACATTCATAAAAACGCTACGATACAAAATTTCAGCGTCTAAAAGTAGCAAAAAAGACGGTAAAAGACCACGACAATGTTATACGGACCTTTTCCGTATGAAAGACGTTCGATACGTGCTGCCGTATCCGTGTGTCGTATCACGTATGAGAAATACACACCCATTGATGACGTCACACGCAAAATCCATACGGATACGCGATACGGGCCAGAAATTTACGCTTGCCAAAAGTCTCTAATAGTTTCGCTTCCACCGAAGATGCAGGTATCGCAGACAAGTTGTATTATTTTCATTTTTATTATCTTAGCGCACGCGTAGTGATATTTCCTGTGGGAGGATAACGGAACACCCGGAGTAAACCCACGAGGTTGAAAAGGCGACCCTATCCCCAAGCCACATACGCTCACACCTGGGATCGAAGCCACAACCGCTAGCCAGAGGTGACCAGCCAGTTAGATGTCGAAGCGCGACACTCTAGACCACTAGGCCATTCCCCGCCCCCCCCCCCTTAACCATTCTGTTATCCAACCACCCATATATAATACGACGGTGTATATTAGAAGATATATAACTATATGACGGTGTATATCAGGAAGATTATAATACGACTATTACCTTACGACGACGGTGTATATTAGTCGGATATATTACAATACGACAGTGTATATTATGAAGATATATTATAATAAGACGGTGTATATCACACTGATCAGCAGTGAATGTTCGCTAGGCCGCTACAATCACTGATAAGGATGACATCGATGCGACTTAATGAGCCAGAAATATTAACTTTTTTCCTGCGACAAATTAAATTCTAAAACATTTTTTTTATGCATTGGAAAAATAAATAAAGGCTTTTGACGTATTTGTAGAAAAATTATTTCCTATTTAGTGTAAATGGGTATTAAAATGAGTAAAAGTCTCCATTCTGCCCGAACTAGAACGTCTTATGTAAACAATGCACGCGCCATTGAGCCAATGATTGACGCCGCGTGATGAGACGTCACGTCGTGTTAAAGGTAGTCATCTTTTACAGAGATATTAGAAGACTTTCGTAACCCTCTGTAAAGCAGATTGGGTGTTTATTAGGAGGATATAACACGACCGAGAAAGTTGACCAGGATTTTCTAGCGAGCACAGAGAAGACCTACCTGATAGTTGGAAGCCATAGCACCGCTCTCTGGGCATAATTTTCCCCATGGCACACTGCGTGGCTTATGCCCTTATTTATTAGCAGATCAGAAGGACGTTAAACCCCATTTCAGTTATTTTCAGTTGGCATGTAATTGTATACATATGTAGAACATGACATTAGATATTCGTTAACAAAAGATTCCTACTGTCAACGCAAAATTGACAGATTTATAGAAATTGGATACGAAAATGTCATAAAATAAGAGCGCAAACTAATTATCGCTCAGATTAATGGCCATTTTATGTTGTTATTACGAAATAAGAGAAGGACCTTTTAAAAATAAACAACAAAGAAACCCAACAAAAACAACAGAAAATATGGCACAGCCAAGAGGGCTTGAAGATGGATAAAAACACCTCTAAATTTATATGTAAACTATAGCTGGTTGTATGTGGTAAATTAATGGAAATTCTACTATTCTGTTATAATGTTTATAATTGTTGATCTTTTTAAGCAGCCCAATTCGCACAAGATGTTGTGTCCTTGAACGCCTATATCGTTAGGCGTTAGGGGGGCTCTCTCCCTAGTATTGGACACTCATAAATTTAATAATGTAGTGCAGTTTTAATAATGTATCCGGGATTAGTGTTTGAATTAGCCATACACCCACCCCACCTGCAATGTCAGAAGGGCCACAAAACGAATGTACGACGTTTCTGCAAAAGTTTTATTTTACATTAAAATTGAAGATCACAACAAAATAGGAAATCACATCAAAATAGGAAATCACAACGAAATAGGAGATCACATCAAAAAAGGAGATCACAACGAAATAGGAAATCACAACAAAATAAATCACACGAAAAGATTATATCCCAGCGGAATCAGAAAATATACAAGCAATAAAATTAATACAAACTTATAAAACAAAGTACATGGATGTGAAATCGTTCTTTGAAAGAAAGAAGCAGACTTCTTGAGGATAAATTAATAATATGAGAAAAAAAATGTCACATTACGTAATAAGTGTGTAATTTAAACGTAGCCATTGTCATGCTTTTATTTAAATGTCTGTTGTTTCATCATGTATGTCTGTTATTTCATCATGTATGTCTGGTTGTTCCCATTCTCTAAAATGGCGGAATTACCTTCAGGGTTATTTTGAGTCCGGATAATGAATATTTTATAACCTAGTGACGGCGAAGGGGACATAAATCTTCTAATACTTTCTATCTACTCCCCATGGCAAATAGTCGATGCTTATGTACAAGCAGTGTCGGATTTATCTATAGGCTTGGCAGGCTGAAGTCTTCATGAAAAGCATTTCTCTGATCTATTTACCTCTGGCCAGATTTTCAATCGTCTCTCCTCTCTCACGCCTACGATTTGTTTCCTCAGTCTCTCAATACAAAATTTTGATCCGTAAGTAATGCTGATGTAAAAGGTGATTTTTTTCTTCGAGGGGTCGCGATCTGGAACCGGGTCACAAAAAGCAACAAAAGATTGGGAACCACTGGTTTATAGCCTTTCCCAGGGGCGGATCCAGAGGGGGGGGGGGTCGAACACCTTCCCCCCCCCCCCCGCTCAGCTACATATTTTTTTTTTGTAAATCAACAATTTTTATGAGAAAAGTTTCTCGGCTTTATCGTCAGATGTGGGACAGGATGGGCACTCAAAGCACGAGATTATGATATAGACATTATGTGATATCACATTTAATGCTTTGTATCCATGAAATTGAATCACAATGTCATTGTATTAAAGGGACAATAACACTCTTGCTGGCTTGAAAGCTCCAGAAAATAAATAATATCTCTATCTAAGTACTAGATGTTTAAGTGTCCTACCTGTTGTGTAAATTACCCATTACATCCTATTTTACTTGTCCAGAGGGTTCGAAAATATTTTTAAATCGAAGTTTCATTTGAAAAGGTTTACGTTAGACGTTTCAAACCCTTATGTTGAATTTTTCAAAATTTTTAAATAAGGTGTGTTAAGATGAAATTTGTATCATCAATTATTGAAATATTCTAAAATAGTACAATTTGTTGACCAGAATAAAGATTGGGACATATTATTCAGTTCGACAAGAGTGGTATTGAGTCTTTAATTCATAACAATAATTGACGTCAAACGAGGTGTTGAATTTCTCTGTTTAAAAAGTTCAATGTGTATGTATATACGCCAAAATGACGATAGAGACCATGCGGGGGAGCGGGGGGGGGGGGAGGGGGGATACATTGTCTCAGGAACCTGGCAATCCCCTCCTGCAAAAATTCCTGGATCCGCCCCTGTTTCCCCATGTTAATCCCGCACTGGCTATAATTAATTTGACCCCATCCGGTGCCGTTTACGTTCTCTCTTTGTGAACAGATCATTTGAAATCTATTTCTCGGCAGTTTGCGAATGCGCTGGATATAACACGTGACAGAAACATTGTTTGAAACATTCCCACAATCTGTTTTACAGACCTAATGCGACATCGTTATTGTAGCGGCCAAGCGAATATTCACTGCGGATCAGTGTGACATTCCCAAAGTATTAAAAGGGACGACATTTTAATTTCGACCCTGGTCTGCGAAAACGACATATTTGGACAATTCATATTTTAGCTGTTCATGACCGGAACTTGACGAAGCTTGCTAGAAACTATGGGTTTGTTGTAGAGCGAGTTGAAACTTGTTGACTAGAGAATAATATTGCCATGGCCCATGACACCCCTCCCCCCCCCCTGCCTAAAAAGTTCACTGACCTTCCACAGCCAGCAGGCTGGCCACGGGCCTGGATGCCACCACGTACTTTTCGTGAACCCCAAGAATTCATTTCTCCAAGTCAGTACCAAAGACAGGGCGTGTTTTAACGTGCCTACAGCCATGAATTGGGGGTTGGATGGCTGAATGGTTAGCATGTGTGCGCTGTATCTTAAGTCTGTCATTGAGTCAACTGGCGTGGTTTCGATTCCCCGGTTGTACGTGACAAGGAGTAGGATCGCCTGTCCAACCTCGTGGAGTTTTTCCGGGCCCTCCGGTTTCCTCCCACTGCTAAAGACCTCTACGC